ATTATACGATCCGATTCGTTGCTCATTTAACAAAAAAAAGAGGATTATCATCTCACCAACTGTTGGTTCTAAATCCCAGTTGAATGATGGTGGTAGAATTACCTTTGAAATAAATTCATTATTAAATTGGTTACTTCTTTATGATGCTTACTTCAGATGCGATTGCAAAATAAAAGATGGAATTCCCAATGAAAATCGGGTTCCACAAACTAATATATCGTTAGAAAACAATTTCTTTCCATCATTATTTAGCGAGATGGTTTTGAAGCTGAATACCCGATGTTGGTGATGGAAGTGTTTTAAAAGAACCGGTAAGAAATGTTCCAAATGATGCGGATGAAGCTAAAATGACTCGAAACACAATAGAAACAATAGGACAAGCAGCTAATCATGGATTCGAAAAACAAGTACTTCAGTACAACAATACCGTTGATAATAATAGTTGGGGTAATTACGTAAAATGGCAGTTATAACAAAATCACCCAATGAAAGAATATCTTCTTCTTTATCTTGAATGATTAACCTATCTATATATTTTCCACTCGTTTTAATTTCATACAAGTGATTATTCTTGCTGTTTTCGTCGTTGATTTCTACATAATCTGTACCATTGATTTTTTCACGGAAACCAAAATTTGGATATTCAGAATAAAAAATGCCTTGGGGTTTGATAGGAAAAAATTTATAAAAAAAATACTCTTATATTTGCTGTAAATCAATATTTTTTATATTCATGCTCTTTTGATTTATCAATATTAGAAGTAATAGAAGCAACATCATCATCACTAAAATTTCTAATTGGATTTTGCTATCATCAATGTTTTGTATTTGTTGTTTAATATTTGTTAGTTCCTTTTGTAATTCACTGTTAAGTTTAGTTTCCAGATCATTTAATTCCTGTTGAAATGTATCTTCATTTTCACCTGGAATGTTATCTATTAATTGATAAATATCTAATTTTTGTTTTGCAATCTTTCATCTAATTTAGATATTAATGAAATTAAATTTTGTAACTGAGTTTTGACCAATTATTTTTGAATAAAACTTATTAAATCTGATACCTCTTGCTGTAGTTAAGTATCATTAATAAAATTGTTATTATTTAGTTGACGTTGAAGGAATCTTTTCACATTACTTATTTTATCTTCTAAATGGTTTTTATTTACTTCAATTGAATTTATTTGATCCCGTAAATAATTCTTGTGAACAGCGTCATTATCATTTTCAGGCGATTTTAAATTAGTTACTTTGAAATTGTTCATATCTTAATCACCTTGAAGCGTGCCTCCAATTTGATCAACAAAGTAAGATTTTGCTTTATTTATCCATGCTGGAGTGGAAGGTTTTTTAGTTTCTAAAGATAAAGAACCTAAACCAAACTTATTTGCCATTTTTATGAAGTTAAATTTATTATAATTTCTCCAAACTGTATTTCTCTAAACTCAACTGATATAAAACCCAAAGTGAAAGCTGTCCACAAAACTTTTGTCTTGGTAATTGAATTTGAAATGTTGAACATTTGATTAGTTGATTAGTTATTTCACTATCTCTTCAGTTGGTTCTAATCCAAAACAATCAAAAAAATATAAGTTATTTGAAGAGTCTTTGTACAAAGCAGAATGATGAATTCCTTTTTGATCTGAAGTATGTATATTTGTTATAGCATAAAACTTACCTTTCTTATATTTGAGATCATTTATTTCATCTCTCATACAATAATAAAACGGTGATATATTTAACTCATTCGCCCATCTCATAAGTTGAAAGTTTGTGGTTGTATCAGTTCCATATTTATCGAGAAAGATATTCATTTTTAAAAGTCAGTTTTTTGAAGTTCGTTTTGATAAAACCTACCTATGATTTGCTTTATCAACGATGAATATTTCGTTTGTCCAGTATCCAACGTAACCTTTTTCGAATTTACTTTTATATTTGAAAATACGAACGCGATCTCCAACTTTGAATTTGATTTAATATTTAAATTATTTTCTTCATTTTCAAAATTATTAAGGGCAGAAGAAAACTTTATAATGTTTGGATTTTGACTAGCTTCCATTGGAGAAACACCGATGGAAGAATGAATTTTATTATTATATTCCGATACTACAGTGGGTAAAATCTTTAACCATTTTTGAGACTTTAGTTCTGTGAATTTTTTTAAACAGTTTTGATTTAAGCGTCCTGTTAAATCTTTCTACTACTACAGCTTTTCCCTCGTTATGAGTACTGTAAATTTCAAACTCAAGTGATTTCATATTTTAATTATAAAATTCACTTCCTTTATCTACCCACAGTTTTTTTTTTTGGTTTTCTATGTTTCATGATCGTTTCAAAAGCATGTTTGACTGATAATCCTGCTTTGTTTTTCTAAGGTATAACCCAAGCATATCTTGTATATAAATCTATAACTGTTAAGCAATACATGTATTTATATCCTCTTTCGACTGGCATATTAATTAAATAAGCTGACCATATTTCATCTTTTTCAAATACTTTAACTTTTAAAAAGTTTTAAGTTTTTCTAAATTCTTTATGAATTTCATCTGCAAATCTTATACCCAATTTCATCTTTGCTTTTAACAGTTTTATGATTAGAGCCATTTGCATTCTCTCTTTGAAAGTTGGATTTGGAATATTTTCAAGTTCGCTTATCATTTGTTTGTCTTCTTCATGTCTGAACTTTATGTCTTTGTTTCTGTGTAAAATATCATGTTTAAGTGCAGCAGCATCAACTCTATTGACTGGTTCTTCGCCTGGTTTGGGTTTATCGTTTTCGGCTAGTCGTAGATCTAGCCTAGTACCTGGACCAGTGTAATTATGACCCGGAAGATGTTTTTCTCCAGGATACTTTGCCCATGGAAATCCAGGAAGAGAGCCCAATGACTTTAGTATATCCGAACAAAAATAAGTTTTGGAGTGTGAACGACAATCATTTTTATCCGATAACTTTAAAACCTTTTCCTATCTTTTCTTCTAATCTCATGTTTCGTAGTTCTCTTATTAGTTGTAATTCTTTTAATTATTCTATCTAATGAAGAAATTATAGGATTCTAATTAAGTTTTTTTTGATAGTTTAAGATGTTGGACAGAGGATGTTTCTTTTTAAATTTATATTTTTGCGATGATTTACAATTGTTTTGTGTTATGACCTATATAGTCAATAACACCGTATTTACTTCCTTGTGTGATTTATTCATATACTACAACTACAGATTCAATTGAGTTAATTTAACAGATTAAACAAATTCATGTTTTATGCTTGTTCGTGTTTTAAAATTAAACCTATTTTTAAACGAGTTAATTTAATGATGAAATATTGGGTGAAGAGGTCTCCTTTTTTTTGGGGGGGGGGGGGGGAGATTGGTGGAATGTAGGGTATGGAGGTATTTTTTGGGAGCTCATAGATTGGACGCATTTTGCTCATGGAATGAAATGTCACACACCTTAACAAAGTCTTTGGACTTGAATTCAAGAGCTTTAAGCTAAGCTTTTTCTATAGTAATTGTGTTTAGCAACATTTGCCTTTCTAAGGTTATTATATACTACAGTGACATACCAAATTTTATAAGAATTCATATAATCAATATTTTTTTATGTTTAAAGCAGAGAATTTTTTTCCAATCAATAACGCACCAAAAATCATTTACAATAAATGATCGTGAGGTAGTAGGAATGTTACCAGTTAAAGTCAGAGGAGGATTAACCTATAGGCAAACTCGGCAGCTGCCCTTCGGCCCATGGAAAATTCGGCCCATGACACTGCAAATTTTGTTGCGGTAAAAATGATCAAACATTTAATAAATTTCCGCAGGCCCATCGAAAATTGTCCTACTAGGAGCGTGATGTGTGAGAATCGACTAAATTGTTTGAGCCTAATGGTGATATCGTGCATAGGATTGATATTGATCGCAAACTTCCTGCCATAAAATTGTAATCCTAAAATGAGAAATTAGGCCTTCTGCCATTCGTTTGCCTACGGCCAAACAAGTCAAAATCCATCACTGGTTAAAGTATCAATAAAGATATTCACTCTGTTTAAACAGATTGTTCATTAGAAAGACGTGTAAAATAACATATTCTCATTTATAGTGATACCGCCAGATAAACCTCTCTAACGAACAAAGATAAATATTCTTTAACCAGTTTTCAATTCAATCAACATTCTCAATCAGTGTACATTCTTTACAATTAGACACCATTTCAACTAAAAATGACAAACGTGATGACTTTGATTTTCCTATTGTTAATTTTCCATTCATCTGCAGTAACATACCTCAGTCACCAGGCTATGGCGTTTCACAGAATCTATAATATTGTCGCGTGTAACTGGATTTATTAATCTGGGGTTGGGGTTTTGCTATACAGCCCCAGAATCACGCAAAAATCTCTCCGTTAACGGGAGCAAGTGTCAGCTCAAAAGTGACTATAATCTATCCCAATTTACTCAATCAAAGAAACAAGTGTTTAAAACTTTATATATGAAAATATCAATTATCTACATTCAAATACAACAATACACTTTATGAAAAATGGTGTTAATAAAAATAAATGGGCGCTGCTACGAGACACAAATTGCATAACATGAATCACATAGCACAGTCCTATACACAAATTGAATTGGTCTAAAATAGGAACCACGAACCAAAGCACTGTCCTATTCACAAAGTGGCACAAAATCACAATCACGTATAATAAAAACAATGCACAATAGCCCAAAATATTTGGGGTGGCACACACGTTAAAAATACCACACAAGCACTAAATTATACTGGAACAACACAAATCACAAAGGATCATTCAGAAAATGCCGAATAAAAGAATTAACACCGGTAAGAATAATCACAAAGGACCGCCCGATAAAAATTGGGTAATGAGGTACCGCCGATAAAGCTAGTCACATGGGACCTTCGGGGTATAGCTCATAGAGAAAGATTTCTAACCTGCTGAGAGCACAATCTCTTTCTCTCTTTCTTTCTGAAGAATCATTCGTCTGCTTGTGTTTATATAGCGAGAAAATCCGTCTCTACTCTCACTGTCCTGCTCTCCCCATCCTCCGTCATACTCTCTACTTCCACAATCTTCTTATACCTCACCATACAACACTGCGTCCCCGTTTCCCCTGTCTCCACTTTCGTCTCTGTAGCTCTATCCACTTTCCCTCCTTCTTTCTCCTCTACTTCCTCACCATCACCCGACGTTTCCAAAGAGTCTCCACCTGCACTACTCTCTTCACTAATATCACTATATAAAGAGAAATTAAGATTAGGCGCACCACCCAACTCTTTGTCCAGCCTTATCATCCTCAACAAACCACCTTTATCTTCCATTCTAAATCTTTTATCTTCTCCATCACTATCATCCTTATCCCCACCATCTATATCTTCATCAACCCTTTTCTCGTCATCTATCTCTCTATTAGCCTTCTTCCCATCATCTATATCGCTATCATCCTTCGTCTTGTAATCATCCTTCTTTTTCGCACCATCCTTCTTGTCAAGCTTCTTCTCAACAACCTGGTCATCATTCTGGTAATCCTGTCTCCTCTCATCATCCTTCTTCCCAACGTCCTTCTTCCTCTCGTCCTTCTTCCTATCACCACCCTTCTTCTTCTCATCCTTCTTCCTCTCATCATCCTTCTTCTTCTCATCATCCTTCTTCCTCTCGCCCATCTTCCTATTATCATGCTTCTTCTTCTCATCATCCTCGCCCAACTTCCTTGGAATAGAAGAAACACACATTACATATGTGTCGAGATAAGCAGGTTGTCGGCGTACTCTTTCATACCTAGAGGTTACAGGAGCAAAACCCTGGACATTTAACGATTCCGCATTATCGCCACCCACATTACTATCACAATAGTCACTGTCAGGAGAGTCATCTATCGGTTCACATGACGCATCTCTATCGGCATCTACATTGTCGTCACTATCAAGGAAGTCGTCTATCGGTTCACATGGTGCATCACTGTCAGATTCTTCGTCACGTTGGTTGTATATTCTTAACCGATCTACATGAACCACCTGTTTACGTCTAGAGGTTTCGCGAATTTGTTGGGAATACCGGGCGTCAATGTTGGTGTAAACAGCCACACTCTATCACCTGATTTCAGATCGTCTTTTCCATTCCTGTGATCATAATAGTTTTTCTGACGTTTAGTCTCCACCTGGATCTGGTCATGAACAAATTGGTGACAAAAGATGAGCCTGTCCCTTAAAGTTTTATTCCAAACATGTTGCTCTATTACTGTCTGTGGTGGACGACCAAACTGAAGATCGAGCGGAGTGTTGAACTCTCTTCCAAACATGGCGTAATTAGGTGTAACACCAGAGGTGTCGTGTTTACTGGTTCTGTAGGCATACATCACATATGGTAAATACGTATCCCAATGGTTACACTTCTGTTGTACGAACGACGACAACACGCTTTTAATGGTTCTGTTATTCCGTTCCACCTGACTGTTGGACTGGGGACGGTACGGAGTTGTTCTTGTTTTATGAATTCCTAACATGCGACACATTTCTTGGAACACGGAACTTTCGAATTGTGTGCCTTGATCACTATGAATTTGTCTTGGAATTCCAAAAGACAAGATAAACTAGAGTAATTGCCACGGTTCTTGCCTCAATATCTTTTATTGGGAAAGCATCAGCAAATTTAGTAAAATAATCACAGCTAACGAGAATATAACGGTTTCCGCTCTCCGTGGGTGGATCAATCCGTCCCACGATATCTATCGCAATCCTCTCAAAGGGCGCACCTGCAGCATAGGAGGACAATGGTGCCTTTCTCTTCCTCATCTTTATCGCAGCACATTGTTTACACGAATTTATATAATCTTGTACATCCTGCTTCAACCCTGGCCAGTAATAACCTTGTTTAATTTTCTCCTCTGTCTTACTGATTCCAAGATGAGCTCCTGTGGGCAAGTCATGTGTAAGGTGCAAAACCTCTTTCTGTCTGCTTTCTGGAACCACAACACGTTTCAATACAACATCAAACTTAGTTTGCTCCAGGATCAGAACTCCATCTTCAATTACCAAGGAATCCCACTTTGTTAAAACTTTCTTTACAAACGGGCTCTTGGGAGATACATCTCTCCACTTTGGTTTAATTCTCGATTCAACCCAGGTCTTAATGGAACCAACCTCTTTATCATCTCCTTGCATCTTCCTTATGACATTAGTATCAATACCTATAAGTCCTACTAACCCGTCACATTCTTCTGTATTTTCATCACCAACTCCACACTGAACACATGGTCTTCGACTCAATGCATCGGCGTTATTATGTGCTCGACCTGCTCTATGTATAACTTCAAAATTAAATTGGGCTAACTGTTCGATCCAACGTGCTACCTGACCTTCGGGATTTTTAAAGTTTAACAGCCACCTTAATGCTCCATGATCCGTTCTGAGAGTAAATTGTTTTCCATACAGATGGGCCTTAAAGTATTTCGCGAAGTACACAACGGCCAAAAGTTCTTTACGCGTAACACAATAATTTCTCTCAGCTTTAGTGAGGGAACGACTACCATAAGCTATGACACGTTCTACTCCATCAAAAACTTGAGACACCACAGCTCCAATTCCATAACCACTAGCATCAGTATCCACAATGAAAGGCTTGTTTGGGTCAGGATACGCCAGAACAGGACTTTCAGTAAATTTTTGCTTAAGGGTATTAAGCACACTCTTTTGTCCAAATAAACTCTCTACCCTTTTCAGTGATCTATTTAAAGGTTTAGCTATAGCTGAAAATTGTGGAATGAATCTCCGATAGTAACTACACAACCCCACAAAACTGCGAACTTCGGTTAAATTTATAGGTTTTTTGCAGGTTTTAACACATTGAATCTTGGCTGGATCTGTTGAGATCCCAGCAGCTGACACAACATGTCCTAAATATTTCACTTCATCAAGAAACAAATAACACTTTGACGCCTTCAGTTTCAGACCAGCCTATCGTAATCGGTTAAACACTATTTCTAATCGTAACAAATGTTCATTAAACGTTTTCGAAAAAATAATTATGTCGTCAAGATACACCAAACAAACTTCCCATTGCAATCCTTAAAGAACAGATTCCATTAGCCTCTCAAAGGTTCCTGGTGCGTTACATAAACCAAAGGGCATGACTTTAAACTGGTAAAGGCCTTTAAAAGTTGTAAACGAGGTTTTTGGTCGATCACTTGGGTCCACCTCCGCCTGCCAGTAGCCACTTGCTAAATCCATGGTCGACAGCCACTGAACCCAGACAGTGTATCCAACGTCTCATCAATACGGGATAAGGGGTATCCGTCCTTAACAGTCAAAGAGTTTAATTTCCTATAGTCCACACAAAATCTCAAACTTCAGTCAAACTTCTTCACTAACACCACTGGACTAGCCCAGGGCCAACTTGATGGTTCAATAATCTCATTGGCCATCATGTCCTCTACCATCTTATCCATCTCTATCCTTTGGTGAATTGCCACCCGTCTGGGTCTTTGCTTTATTGGTTCAGCGTGGCCAACATTTATTGTGTGTTTCACAAGTCCTGTTTTTCCAAGATCTGCAGCGAAGAGGCAAACAGATCATGATGTCTTGTAAGTAAGTGCTCGATCTGCCTAGATTGCTCTCGATCCAACCCCTCACAAGCTCTAACCCACAAGTCCAGAACATGAGGTGGTAACTCTGGGCAAATATTGGGTGTTTGGGATACTCTCTCAGTCTCAACCACTCTTACTGGAACTAAGTCACCAACCGAGGTGTTTTTATAAAAAAAGACATCATAATCATTTGCATTGAATAACCTCACTGGTACCCAAGGGTTATCATCATTTATATAACAAATAGCTTTAGCCGACAAGATTCGCTTTTCTTTATACAGACGTTCAATGGGCTCCATCATTACATCCCGATACTTAACTAATTCGACACATTCCAAAGGGATATATCCATTAACAACCACCTCATGTCCAGATGGAACACATGTATTTTCACACAGAGACACACGACATATACCAATAGGTTCTTCTAGATGAATTTCGTATGTATTACCATTCAACGTTATCGTCTTTCTTTTCAGATTGATGGTGCCTTCATTGGCATTCATAAAATCCAGTCCAAGAATGCACTGAGAGCCAATGTCAGCCACTACCAATGTATGGGGATAGTTATGACCATAGATTTCAATTAAAAAATCAGCTTTGCCATAAATGACCATAAGCCCACCGTTCGCTGTACTATATCTAGCAGCCACATATTTTAGTTCTGGTCGATTATTTCGTGGAATAGAATCGAAGGACTTCTTTGATAAGAAACTTATTGTAGCCCCAGTATCAATAAGGGCATTTACATTCACTGATTGTATGATACTCTTTATGTGAAGACCAGTTTCATTGGGGGTGCAAAAGGTTCTTTTATTTGCACGACTACCATGACCCGAACGAGCATAGTGCCATCTGTTGTTATGGTCATAGCGCTGAATTCTAAAACTGGCACTTCCATTTCCATTTGTCGCCCCTCTACTGGTGTTATAATTATTGGTATTACCTGGAGATTGGTTTGCCTCTAACTCTACGGCTAACCTTACAGCATCCTCAACATTTGTTGGTCTGGTTCTCTGAATCTGCCACACCATATCTCCATCGTCACAAAGAGCATCACAAAAGGCATCCTTTGCTAAAATTTGAAGTAATTCACTATCAGCAGATGGATATGACATTGTCACCAAACGCCTTACTGCTTCCCCAAGTTCGGGCAGACTTTCTTTTGGTTTTCTTTGTCGGGCCTTCAATTGGGCTCTGTATAATTGACACTGATTTTGGGGTAAAAATCTGTCTTCTAAAGCACCGATAACTTTTGAATAAATTAAACGATCTTCCACCTTTAACGACGTCAACACTTTCTGGGCACTGCCCTTTAAACTTGTGGCTAAATGTAAAGCCATCTCATTTTCACTCCAATTATTAAGTTGAGCACAAAGTTGAAAATGGCAATTGTAGTCCATGAAGGATGTACTACCATCATAAGCTTGGAGCGTCCTCACAGGTTTACGGCACACAGACCCGGAGACGTCACCTCTAGTATTCGGTGTAGATGTAACACTAGGAACGAAATTATATTCACCAGAATTCGGCCCAAACGTAACGTTGTTCGATTTGTTGTAACCACCCCCCGCACTCACACCTTGTTTTAGGCAAGTTTTCACATCAAACACCTCACTTCTATATAATTCCATTTCCTTAGACAGATTGTCGAATCTGTCAAATAATTTTGCAGCGAAGTCACCACTGATTCCGCCTACCACGTACCCTGCCCCATTTGTATTCACTACTTGTTCACTATTAGACATATTATTCACAGAATCGGGCGATGTTTTTGTAGCTGCAATTTCGACAATTCTCTTTCTTTGCAGTTCCAATTGTTCCACTACTGTTGATAACTGATGCAGTATAGTCGCTTCTAAGTTACTAGATGGCGCCTCTTTAGACGAAACAGTACGTGGAGGGTTTGATGATCCGGGGCTATCGTTTGGGGCACAGGCACTGGCTTCATATCGCTGGTTATCAGATGGACACAACACAGGGATGGGGTCACACATATTTGTAAAGTCCATGTCAAGTAAGGTATGTCTAGTCATGTCTGTCATTCAAGCACAGGGCGTTTCTCCAGAAACCACCGAATATTTTGTTTGAGAATTGAGATATCACTTATCCCACCTTTGCCACCAAGAAAACCCTATATGTAGCGTGTAATTGGATTTATTAATCTGGGGTTGGGGTTTTGCTATACAGCCCCAGAATCACGCAAAAATCTCTCCGTTAAGCAAGTGTCAGCTCAAAAGTGACTATAATCTATCCCAATTTACTCAATCGAAGAAACAAGTGTTTAAAACTTTATATATAAAAATATCAATTATCTACATTCAAAAACAACAATACACTTTATGAAAAATGGTGTTAATAAAAATAAATGGGCGCTGCTACGAGACACAAATTGCATAACATGAATCACATAGCACAGTCCTATACACAAATTGAATTGGTCTAAAATAGGAACCACGAACCAAAGCACTGTCCTATTCACAAAGTGGCACAAAATCACAATCACGTATAATAAAAACAATGCACAATAGCCCAGAATATTTGGGGTGGCACACACGTTAAAAATACCACACAAGCACTAAATTATACTGGAACAACACAAATCACAAAGGATCATTCAGAAAATGCCGAATAAAAGAATTAACACCGGTAAGAATAATCACAAAGGACCGCCCGATAAAAATTGGGTAATGAGGTACCGCCGATAAAGCTAGTCACATGGGACCTTCGGGGTATAGCTCATAGAGAAAGATTTCTAACCTGCTGAGAGCACACTCTCTTTCTCTCTTTCTTTCTGAAGAATCATTCGTCTGCTTGTGTTTATATAGCGAGAAAATCTCGCGAGATCACAGGTAACCGTTATCTCGCAGCAGCGTGAAATTACGTGACAATAATAAAAATTACGGATTTAATAATGAATATGTACAAATGATAAAAATAAATAAGGATAATGATATAAACAAGAAAAGTAAATAAGGGACGAAGACGGGAGCAATGTGAGAAGTAAGCCAAAGGTTAATTAAATTTTGCAAAGTAAATAAAAGCCAAAAAGATAAAAGAATAATTTTGATTCATCACAATATCAATGTCTGTTTCATGAAACACATTTATGTTTTTTCTTGGTTTAAATGTATGCTAAACATTATGTGCATTGGCGTAATAACAGATCACAATATTGTGCGAATGAGAATTAAAAATATTTTCCACAGGATTAGTTCAGTTCATCATTCATTACTGCTGATTAAAGAACATGAGTATATTATAGGAAAAAACAACAACATAATTTGAGCCTATTCTAAATTGCCGTCTGTATTATAATCGAATTTCATCATTGATTTAATTTAGGTTGAAAATCTGTATCTTATTAAATTGAACTCAATTGAATTAGTCTACTGTCATCCCTTAATATACATTACTTAACTATCAAATCTTTATAATAAAATACATTGTCAATCAGGCCTTAGACATAGATAATTCTATTAATATAATTTTAGTCTGGACTTAAAATTGTAATAGATGGGTATCATTGTTTATCCAATTTATTTTCATACAAAAGGACAAAAAATGTCGAATCTGTGTCGATTTCAGCAAAGATATTTACAATAATGTAGATGAACACGTTGTCTTGCAATACAAGCTCTATAATAAATTCAAGTGAACATTTTACAAATGATTCAACGATTAGATCTGCAAAAGGGATATTGGCAATTAAAAATAGTTTTTATCCCATTTCTAATTTAAAAGGATTGACTGATCTTAGATTTATACCAAATGAGTTTCTTTGTTTTGCTTCCGTATTTTCAAATCCAAAAATCCGTACCCATGCAGGTTTTCTTGGTGCATGTAAATATGGGGAAGTTTTAGGCTTTAATGACGGAAAAAATCAGCTGAATAATTGGTCACTGGTGATTTTGTTTATAACATTTTCACAAAAATTCTGTAATTTGACAAGAATCCATTCATGGGGAAAAGTGAAGGAATAGCAATCTAGTCACAGTATCTCCTGGTGTTCCTGAAAGACAATGTTCTGTTGGTAATCTTTTCATAAATCCTTTTTAAAAACTGAATAGTATGGCTGATATTATGAGTTAATGGCTTAGAAATGTAGCGGTATAATATACTTTAAACTTTTCAGACTTTACACATGTAGAATTTTAGTTAACTTTGATAGAGAACATACATTTAAATTAACCCATTGAGAGAAGTATTTCTGGCCAATTTAAACTTTTATATTTCCCTCTAGATTTCTTCTTAAAGAGTCGAAATTTTTAATTGAGTCAATTGAAATATTTCTGGTACAAATCAAACGTTGTGTGATGCTTTTAATTAAGTTGTGGAACTAGGGAAATTATATCTATTGTATTTAAATGTTGAAATTGTCTACATGAGAATTAAAGAGTTTTTAGAAAGTTTTACACATTTCAACTTGATAAGTGTAATAATGTAATATCTAAAGACAATATGATGTGTAGTTTTTGACATGATTATGACTATGATGAAAAGGCTTCACTTATCAGCTTCAACAAACACGTTGTTGCCAATGAATTACTTCCATCTAACCAGAGTGCATACAGGTCAAATTGCATTACCGAAACTTAAACTTTAAAGATTTATAATGGCCTTCTACAAAACTTTGAACGCCAAGGGTTCCACCCTTTGTCGCCGTTGATTTGGGTGCCGCCTTTGATACTCTAAATCACTCCCTTCTGATGGACACGTTTCAGAATTGTTTTGGTGTCTCAGTTACTGCAAAAACTTGGATTGATTCTTACCTATCTGACAGAAATTTGATTTACAACCCCCATTTTACCGTTTAACCAATATTTTTTTCTGATCCCCAAGGAAGTGTCAACGGTCCAGTTTATTTTACCTGCTATTCCAGAAATTGTATTGACAACGAATTTAATCTTTTTTTTTTGGGTATGCAGATGATCACAATGTGTACGGAAGTTTTGATGCTGGTAATATATCAGAGGAGATCAGGACCATACAACACTGTCTTGTCTGATACGATAGAAATACGCTCAAAATGAATGATGATAATCGTCTACCGCTGAAATCTGTGACGTCTGAAATAAAAGTTGGTGGTGTCAGTGTAACCGCAGAATGCGTTAAGTTTTTGGCATTTCCTTTGATCAACATCTGGATTTTAATAAGCATATAGCGATAAAATCACGTAACGCTACCTTAGCATTAATGAAAATAAAAAAAAATAAAAACTCTCATCAACAGATCAACGTGTCTAAAGCTTTGGTATTCTCACATTTAGACTATTGCAATAGCCACTTTATCAATCTGCCTCGAACGAAAATTCAAGCAATATGGCTGCTAAATTGATCCTGGGTTTACCAAAATTTGCCAGCACAACAGAGGCGTTAAAGGACCTACACATTCTTCCAATACACAACCGGACCGAGTGCAAACCTCTTCTGATGGTGTACAAATGTTTAAATAATTTGACTCCAAAATATCTATCGGATCTCTGAACTCTAGATATTTTAATATTAAAATTCGTATTGTACAAGATCCTCTGGGTGTCTTAATCTTACCAACAACAAAATATAATGCGGATGGGTCATTCAGTGTAGCAGGACCACTGTTAACATGTTACCTGAAAAGTTTAAAATCTGTAAATTTGTTGATTCTTTTAAGAGAAAGAAAAAAACAGATCATTTTAGAAGAACTTTTACCTAAAACAACTGGGTGTATGTGTATAGACCAAGGAGTATAGATACTCCAAGGTATAGACATTGGCCATAATGTAGAAATATTTGTGTTTGTAAAGCGCCATTGAATACTCATCTTAGATCAGTAATGGGCGCTATAAGTGCAATAACCTTAATGTGGCTGAGAGTAGAACTTTCTAATGAACTGGATGCTTAAGTTTCTTGTAAACTAAACAATATCAAAAGCCTAGATCCGCATTAGATAATAAATTCTTTTTAAGTTAAGGTTAGATTACAATTCCGCTTCATAGTGTTTTAGTTTCAAGTTGTCAATTAAGAACACTGGTGTATCGAATCGCAAAAATATATTATAGAACATATTCTGAGGCAAAAGATTTCTCATCTTATCACATAACTTAGTTACTACCAGAGACAATATGATATGGCTATTACCGGTGATATTATTCAGAATCATCAATACACAATAATTTTAGACTTATCTAGAATTATTATTACAGCCAGTCTAATTATTATACTATAATAGGCTTATATTTTAGTTTATTTCATGTCCTCTAATGTGAGCGTTCAGCGAATATCTAAATGAATTCTGACATTCAATATTATAAATTTATGTAGTCAAGTGGTCCTCACACAATAGCGATTACCAGTTATGTATAGTTGCGAAAAAGTAGAGCTGAACTCTCCTGCAACTGAATTGTGAGGTGCTTTCGGAACTCATGGCAACTACCATTATTAGCAACCATACGGAACTGGTAATCGTCATGGTGTGAGGACACCTTTATAAATATTTGAATCATAACTACCACCACATGCTTAAAACAGTGGAAGAGCCAAACATAAGCCTCTCGTATTCAATTATACGTCCTCATGAACAAGGACCATTGCCTTTAACCATATATCCGTCAGATACTTCGTGAGTTAACATTCCCTGTAATCACGATAGAAGCTGAAGCTTTTATTCGAAGAAAGCTAATTGGATTAACGAGTTCTCAAAATTTGTTTGTTACAGGAATATTTATTGACCCACATCCTATTATAACTAGTACACCGTTTCTTTTTTTGGTAGCACAAGGTTTCATGTATGTTATGCTCGTGGGACATAGTTAAGTGCGTATAATGAATCGTTGCCTTTGTATGCAGATGGATGGTTAATGCGGTTTAGTTCTTCTAATTCTCATCGAAGCCATCAACTGCTAGCAGTGGTTGAAATTCCGTTGCTCTTGGTACTCGCTTTTCACATCGTGTCAGACTGATCATTTTAACACATATTTTACAGTAGAATGGAATAAAACCCAATATCCCTGTCAGTTCACAAACACTTTGAACTTTTCTCATGCAGAAGTATTTAATTACAAGCTATGACTAGAGGCTAGTTTTTCTTGAACTCATCATATATTTTCTGCTTCGGTAAAAGTTGTCCCCAATCAACCTTTAAATAGAAAATGTTTAAGAAATACTTATGTCGATGCAATTTATTTCATTGATAGTTAAACGTATTGTCAATAATCACAAACATTCATGGTAAACAGTTTGCACTTAACATATTTACTATACTGTAATGACATAACATGTAAAATCAACGACCAAATTCGAAATAATACAGACAACCCCAAACTATACAGACAACTGCTTTGAATGGGGAAATATGGTTAGCTGATTTAATTGATATGCCAGTCGAAAGAGGATATAAATATTGCTTAACAGTTATAGATTTGTATACAAGATATGCTTGGGTTATTCCTTTGAAAAACAAAACAGGATTATTAGTCAAACATGCTTTTGAAACAATCATGAAAGATAGAAAACCAAAAAAACTGTGGGTAGATAAAGGAAGTGAATTTTATAATTAAAATATGAAATCACTTGAGTTTGAAATTTACAGTACTCATAACGAGGGAAAAGCTGTAGTAGTAGAAAGATTTAACAGGACGCTTAAATCAAAACTGTTTAAAAAAATTCACAGAACTAAAGTCTCAAAAATGGTTAAAGATTTTACCCACTGTAGTATCGGAATATAATAATAAAATTCATTCTTCCATCGGTGTTTCTCCAATGGAAGCTAGTCAAAATCCAAACATTATAAAGTTTACTTATATACCCCATATAATTTTGAAAATGAAATAAATAATTTAAATATTAAACCCAAATTGTTGGAGATCGCGTTCGTATTTTCAAATATAAAAGTAAATTCGAAAAAGTGTTGGTTACGTTGGATACTGGACAAACGAAATATTCGTCGTTGATAAAGTAAACACCACATCACCTCCGACATATGAATTAATCGATCAAGACAAAGAACAAATCATAGGTAGGTTTTATCAAAGCGAACTTCAAAAAACTGACTTTTAAAAATGCTTATATCTTTCTCGATGAATATGGAACTGATACAACCACAAACTTTCAACTTATGAGATTGGCGAATGACTTAAATATATCACCGTTTTATTATTGTATGAGAGATGAAATAAATGATCTCAAATATAAAAAAGTTAAGTTTAATGTTATAACAAATATACATACTTCCGATCAAAAAGGAGTTCATCATTCTGCTTTGCACAAAGACTCTTTAAATAACTCATATTTTGTTTATTCTTTTGGCTATAACCCACTGAAGAGATATTGAAATTGACTAATAAAACAAACGGAAACTCCACCATCAATGAATATTATTAGAAATCCAGAACAACAAAAAAGAAGAAACAACAACAAGTGATCAGTTTTTACGAGCAACAGACTTTGAATATGTAAAACTATATTAGTTGGTCGTGGTCGACTTGACCCCACCGATGATGTAGAGTGATCTAACAGAATTAAATATTCTCATTTTATTAACTGTCTTTGTACTTTATAATTTAGTATGAAACAATTTATGTTCTATACCTGTAGCCATTAATTGCTTTTCTTCATTATTCCGAAAATTTGAAGCAGTCAGAGTGTTTATGATTCTACGGAGCCCCTAAGGCGCAATTGTAAACATATTTATTTATTATTTCATTTAAACGAAATAATTAATTCGTTTAAACGAAATAATTATTTCGTTTTAACGAAATACACTATGTTTATTTCGTTAAACGAATAA